GCTCATGTTACCATCAGCTCATGTTACCATCAGCTCATGTTACCATCAGCTCATGTTACCATCAGCTCGTGTTACCATCAGCTCATGTTACCATCCATCGCACCACACCCATAATCAATCTAATGCTATCAGACTGTGGGTGGCTCTCCAGAAACAGCTTCTTGCACACCAAGATACACACGACTGCAGCACACCTTGCTTGCACCTTAGGTGACTGTTGAGTCGACTAAGTCACCTGCCTCTCCAGAAACAGCTTCTTGCACACCAAGATACACACGACTGCAGCACACCTTGCTTGCACCTTAGGTGACTGTTGAGTCGACTAAGTCACCTGCCTCTCCAGAAACAGCTTCTTGCACACCAAGATACACACGACTGCAGCACACCTTGCTTGCACCTTAGGTGACTGTTGAGTCGACTAAGTCACCTGCCTCTCCAGAAACAGCTTCTTGCACACCAAGATACACACGACTGCAGCACACCTTGCTTGCACCTTAGGTGACTGTTGAGTCGACTAAGTCACCTGCCTCTCCAGAAACAGCTTCTTGCACACCAAGATACACACGACTGCAGCACACCTTGCTTGCACCTTAGGTGACTGTTGAGTCGACTAAGTCACCTGCCTCTCCAGAAACAGCTTCTTGCACACCAAGATACACACGACTGCAGCACACCTTGCTTGCACACCTCACCCCCTAGAGTGTGTGCGAGCTCGCGCGCGCCTGTGTGTGTGTGTTCTCAATTTCAATACAAAAGGCTCACACAAGAACAACCGTATCTCAATCCCATACATCGCCTCCCACCTACCCCCGTGTTTTTCTCCCACTTTTTCTCCTACTACTTCGCGACGCCTAAAACAAATCGCATCCCACCCCCATTGTCGCCCTGACCTCCCCCTTGTGCCATCGGCAGCACCCCACCCCACCACAATCCCACCTTCCGTAACTCATGGGCAACCCACCCAAATGGTTTGACGAAACGCCACCAGAATGTGATGGTATTCCGGGCACGGCTGAGCCTCCCGTGTCCTGTCCCCTCCCTATAAAACACCCGTCCACCCTTCATTACCGCTCACAACCCAACCAAATGGTTTGACGAAACGCCACCAGAATGTGATGGTATTCCGGGCACGGCTGAGCCTCCCGTGTCCTGTCCCCTCCCTATAAAACACCCGTCCACCCTTCATTACCGCTCACAACCCAACCAAATGGTTTGACGAAACGCCACCAGAATGTGATGGTATTCCGGGCACGGCTGAGCCTCCCGTGTCCTGTCCCCTCCCTATAAAACACCCATCCACCCTTCATTACCGCTCACAACCCATCCAAATGGTTTGACGAAACGCCACCAGAATGTGGTGGTACTCCGGGCATGGCTGTAGCAGGATGTGCTCCCCTGTGATGTATACCACCCCCATCTTTCCCTGCCACCCTTCGTCACCGCTCACAACCCACCCGGATGGTTTGACGAAACGCCAGCAGAATGTGGTGGTATTCCGGGCACGGCTGAGCCTCCCGTGTCCTGTCCCCTCCCTATAAAACACCAATCCACCCTTCATTACCGCTCACAACCCACCCAAATGGTTTGACGAAACGCCACCAGAATATGCCGGTATTCAGGGCATGGCTGAGCCTCCGGTGTCCTGTGCCCTCCACCTCCTATTCAACACTCACCCATCCCTCATTACCGCTCACAACCCACCCGGATGGTTTGCCGGAACGCCACCAGAATATGGTGGTCTTCAGGGCACGGTTGAGCCGCCCCTAGCCCCGCCACCTGCTGCTGCAAGAGCTCCTCAAAGTTCGTGGGCTGTGTGGATGGGGAGAGGCGGGGAGGGGTGGAGAAAGGTGGGGAGGGGTGGGGAGGAAAAACAGGAGCGGGGGGGGGTTAGTGGGAGGAAGGGGTGTGAGGGGTTTGGTAGTGAAGGGGTTCGGTCATCTCATGAAAGTTGGGAGGACAAGTACATTATTGTTCCAGGAAGATCTCACGAGACATCGCTCTCTGATGCACAACCTAATAACGAGTACATTTTTATAACGAGTACATTACTGTTCCAGTGTACTGATAGCTGCCGCGCACTGACTCCAGGGCCTGCTGGTGCAGCGACATCTCATGAGCCGTCTCCACCACCTTGCGAGTCATTGCCTCCATCTCCGCCACCTGTGGGTGTGACAGTAACGAGGGTGTGTGTGACACAGACAGGGGTGTGATACAAAGGGGGTATGACACAAACGAGAGAGTATTGGTAGCTGTATATTTCTTAGCCATCTCATGAGCCGTCTCCACCACCTTGCGAGTCATTGCCTCTAGCTCCGCCACCTGTGAGTGTGACAGTAATGAGGTGTTACACAAACGAGAGTGTTTTGTTAGCTGTCTCTTACTGAGACGTCTCATGACCCTAAACCCTCCACCACCTTGCGGGTCATTGCCTCTAGCTCCACCACCTGTGAGTGTGACAAAAGTGAATTTGTGACCCAAACGAGGGGGTGATACAAACGAGAGTGTAATGCAAGACCAGGGCGTGACACATACGAGGGTGTGATAACAATGAGGGGTGTGACACAGGCGAGGCCGTGACAGAAAAACGAGGGTGTGGCACAAACCAGGGTATGATACAAGCAAGAATAGGAGTCTAACAAGCAGCAAAACCAACCACCCCCGTCACTCCTCCCCAATACCGCCATGATTCCCTTCTCCCCATGACCACGGTGCCACCCCAAAGCACATAGTAGATCTCAACCCCCACGAAGCACATAGTAGATCTCAACCCCCACGAAGCACATAATAGATCTCAACCCCCATGAAGCACATAATAGATCTCAACCCCCCGTCCTCCTTCCTTCCTACGCTTCCCGCCTCCTTGCCCGAGCTATTTCCTCTCGGCCACTATATATGTTAACTCCTCCCCCCTGCCCCCCCCCCTTCCCCCTCCACTTCCCCTTCTATCTCCTCTCTCACCCTTTCCATCTTGCCCTCTTTCGCCATCGCCTCTGCCAGAAGCTTCAGCTGCACGGAGCTGCTCTCGATCTCCTGTGGAGTGATCAGTGCGTTGGGAGGAATGGGGGTACAGCATGGACAGACAGAGAGAGGGGGACGACAGAGTGAAGGAAAGGGGGACGCGTATCGCCTCTGCCAGCAGCTTCAGCTGCACGGAGCTGCTCTCGATCTCCTGTGGAGTGATCAGTGCGTTGGGAGGAATGGGGGTACAGCATGGACAGACGGAGAGAGGGGGACGACAGAGTGAAGGAAAGGGGGACGCGTATCGCCTCTGCCAGCAGCTTCAGCTGCACGGAGCTGCTCTCGATCTCCTGTGGAGTGATCAGTGCGTTGGGAGGAATGGGGGTAAAAGCATGGACAGACGGAGAGAGGGGGACGGCAGAGTGAAGGAAAGGGGGACGCGTATCGCCTCTGCCAGCAGCTTCAGCTGCACGGAGCTGCTCTCGATCTCCTGTGAAACGACCCGTGAATTGCGAGGCACAAGGGGTGCAAGGAGGGAGGGAGGGATGGAAATGGGGACGACGCGTATCGCCCTTTTTCCCCTTTGCCAGCAGCTTCAGCTCCACGGAGGTGCTAGCAATCTTCTGTGAAACGATCAGTGCGTGCGGAGACACGGGGATGCAATGCAAGCATGGACGGAGGTGCCTCAAACGACAATTTTTGAGACGCCAAAAAGTTGGATGACGAGAAGTGATGACGGATATGAGCTGCACGAATGGAAGTTGTTGAACGCGACAGGAGGACAGACATTGGAAGCTCTAACGGCTGTGTTTTGCCTACACCATCCGCTTCTAAGAAAGTATCGGGGATTGGAAGCCACCAGCCATTTGAGGCGTCAACTGCTGAGATTGCAGGTCGCGAAGTCGCGACCTGGAATGTGAAACGAAATTACTTACGGCTTGCAATCTCTTCTCGTCGCCTATCAAGCCGCCAACAGTGCTGGCTATTCTTTGCGTTAGAGCCCGCTCCGCCATTTTCGCCAATACACCGTTGCTTATGTGAACCACGGTTCGCGCCTTCTAGTGATTGCCTGTGAACAAACTCCGTCGGGATTGGTGTTTCATGAGCCTACATCCGAAGCGAGGTACAGAGCAGACTAGGAATTGTCAACGTGCTAGTAGATAGACTTCGAGAGGAACGAAGCGGGAGTGAGGAACGAACAACGAAGAGCGGGGAGCGAAGAGCGAAGAGCGACGAGCACCTTCAGGTCCAGCTTCAGAAGCTTCTGAAGCTTGTTTCTGAATCTCCACGCAAATTGTTGGAATGACTGAAATGACTGCGATAGAACCAAGGAAGCGGGTTGCGAGGGAGGGGAGACGCTGCCATTCGCGATCTGCAACGGCTCTTTCGCGAAACCATCCTGCTGGGGTTGCTCAACGGAGTTCACGCCAAGTTCGTTTCGCATACTACTTTGGAAAAGGAGCTGGTAACCTCGGCTCGACTGTTCTACTTGGCGACAGCTCATCTGTCCCCCTCGATAATACAGCAACAAAAAGCTCCCTGGAATTACCGTGGGGGAAGCCAGAGCAGCAAAGATTCCCAGAATCCCAGATTCCTAGAAAGAATCAAGAACCCAGCAGAACTCAAAATTGTCGCGGTTTTCTCGAGGTACAGACTGTTTGGATTAGCGTCACAAAGCTCCACGAGTATTTCCCCGTTTCGCGAATGCGTGTTGCTGCGGGACGCTAAGCCACCCTGGGACTCCTGGACGACGATGTTGGAAACGGAAATCTGACTACCACTAGCGACCGCGGACTAAGCGGCCAAATTTCCGCATTTTCCTGAGCAACCTTCCTCTAAAATCGTCCGTCGGAATCGACGGTTTCCGTCATCGCTTGCATTACGAGTCCGTCGTTTCCTGGTCGTGCTGACGGAACTCCCAGGTTCTCTTGAGAAGCGTCTTTCGATTCATCGGTCGGAACCGACCGCACCGCTCACCGCTTGCATTAGTCCGTCGCCTCCTGGTCGCGTCGACTCAAAGGTCGTTCGGTACATTCCGCGTCATGGCGTTGCGCTCCCAGCATCTACAGCAGCTGACATCATCCAGTCGTTTCCCAGCCGTGTTGTCCGCACTGGTGCGTGCTGGTTCACCAAGAACCGGCTTATTCTGTGCCATGTGATGCTGATTGCATCCGCGAGCGTAGTTTATTTATGCTGGTCTCATGGACGCTCGTCGTTCTCCCACTTGTCATTCGGCCTATTTGCATCGCTCAAATATGTCTGTCTGCGAGCTATGACAGTCACCTCAAAGGAATTCCTTGTTTAGAGGGGATTCGTCGCCTTTTCGCAGACATCGCACCTCCATTGTGCCAATCCGCCTTCCCCTCCATTGTACAAGCCACCTTCCCCTCTCCTACTCCTTTCTTTCTCTCCTCTTCTCCCATACCCACTGCAGCTCCCGCACGTCCAATCCCACTCCCTCGCCTCATTCCACTGTGTCCTCCCTCCATTTTCCCACTGCTTTTTCTTCTATCCTCTCTCTTTTTCTTCTCCCGTACCTACTGCAGCTTCCGCGCATCCTATCCCACTCCCTCCACAGTGAACCCCACTCTCCCACCGCTTCATCCTCCTCTTCTCACCTTGCATCAGCCGTCGCACCATCCACGCTCACCGCATCGTCTCCATGCTCCTCCCCCGTGCCAACGAGCCCCTCTCCATCGTCCCATCCGCCTCCTGCGCTCCCTCCACACCGTTCCTCCCATTTCAGCAGCATCTCGCAGAAATCCGCTTGCCGACCCTCTTCCAATCTCCTAAACAGCACGGCATATAGCCGAATTCCCCTCCATCGATCCTTTTCCAATCTCCCGGATAGCACGGTGTATGGTGGGCCGAAGCCCGAGGCGGGGCGGAAGCGGGTGACGCTGCAGCAGGTGGGGAGCAAGTACCGCCGCGGCGAGCCCATTGTCATGGTCACGGCCTATGACTACCCCTCGGCAGTGCACGTGGACATGGTGAGAAGGGGGGGTTGGAATGGTGCACATTACTGTGTTTGTATGGGCGAGCCCGTTGTCATGGTCACTGCCTATGACTACCCCTCCGCCGTGCATGTGGACATGGTGAGAAGGGGGGTGTAGATAGGTAGCCACTACCAAGTATGTCGGTCGGACCACAGCCCATCGTCATGGTCACGGCGTATGACTACCCCTCCGCCGTGCATGTGGACATGGTGAGATGAGTGGCTGACATGATAACAGGTAGGATGTAGACACATAGACAGCACCGTGCATGTAGGGAAGGGACAAGATTATTGTCATGGTCACGGCGTATGACTACCCGTCCGCCGTGCACATGGATATGGTGAGAAGATGGTGAGAAACTGGGTGGGCTTTGGGTAGAGTGTCACTACCGTGCATGTAGGCCCATCGTCATGGTCACGGCCTATGACTACCCCTCCGCCGTGCATGGGGACATGGTGAGTGGTATGCTAAATGACATGATCAGAGGTAGGATGTAGACAGACAGATAGACAGTACCGTGTATGTAGGGAAGGGACAATATTATCATCATGGTCACGGCCTATGACTACCCCTCCGCCGTGCATGTGGACATGGGGAGAGGGAGAAGTGGGCATGTGGTCGTGGTGACCGTGAGATGTGTGCCTAAGTGACATGATGACAGGTGGGATGGGAGGTAGAATCGCAGGTCAGTGTGTAAAGGAACATAAAGATTTAGCTAGGCGATTGTGCAGTCTTTCTTTCCTGAATCATCTGCTGCTCCCACGTCTCTTTACTCCTGCTTCTTCCCTTCAACCTCCCCCCATGTCCCTTAAACCCCACCTCAGGCAGACATAGACATCTGCCTGGTGGGCGACTCAGCAGCCATGGTGCTCCTCCTTCATTCTGGGTTGGCTTATTGCCGTCCTATGTGCCTTTACTCTTCATGCTTCCCTTCACCTTCCCCACATGTCCTAAACCCAAAACCTCAGGCAGACATAGACATCTGCGTGGTGGGCGACTCAGCAGCCATGGTGGTCCTCTTTCTTTCCTGAATCAGCTGCTCCGCCCACGCCTCTTCTCTCACGCTTCTCTTCTCCTCCCGCCCTGCATGCCCCTTCACGCTTCTTTACTCAGGCGGACATACACATCTGCCTGGTGGGCGACTCAGCAGCCATGGTGGTGCACACTCTCATCCCCAGCTGCTCGCCTTTCCCCACTACTGCTTCTCTCCCCTACTCCTTCTCTCCCCATTCCCCCCCCCCCCCCAGGCGGACATAGACATATGCCTGGTGGGCGACTCAGCAGCCATGGGGGTGTCAACCCCCGTCCTCCCTCACTCAGCCATGGCGGCGCGATGTTTCCTCCCCACCTCCTTTCCCCACTACTGCTTCTCCTCCCTCCTTCCTCCTTCCTCCTTCCTCCCTCCCAATCACCCCTCCCCAGGCGGACATAGACATTTGTCTGGTGGGCGATTTAGCAGCCATGGTGGTGCGAACCTTCATCCCCTCCCCTCTCCCCACTACTGCTTCTCCCCCCCGTTTCCCCCCTCCCCCCCTCCCCCAGACGGACATAGACATCTGCCTGGTGGGCGACTCAGCAGCCATGGTGGTGCATGGGTACGACACCACTCTGCCAATCACACTCGAGGACATGCTTCTGCACTGCAGGTGATTACGCATTGTAGGGAATCATATGCATGTGTGTGACGATTGTATTAAATGTAGCCATGGTGGTGTATGGGTATCACACCACCCTGCCCTGCCCATCACACTCGAGGACATGCTGCTGCACTGCAGGTGATTATATGAACAGTGTTACTGACATGAATGTGATTGTTTATTGAGTAATGCGTGCAGCATGGTGGTGCATGGGTATGACACCACTCTGCCCATCACACGAGACGATGTGCTGCTGCACTGCAGGTAGTTATATGCATGTATGTGACTGCCACTCTTCCCATGGTGGTGCATGGGTATGACACCACTCTGCCCATCACGCTCGATGACATGCTGCTGCACTGCAGGCGAACATATGCACTGCAGCTTATTATATTATATGCATTGCATGTGTGTGACTGTAGCGAGTGTGATTGTGTTGAGTAATAGGTGCAGCCATGGTGGTGCATGGGTATGACACCACGCTGCCCACCACACTGGACGACGTGCTGCTGCACTGCAGGCAGTTATATGCATGTATGTGACTCTAATGAGTGTTATTGAAAATTTAGTAATGTGTGCAGCCATGGTGGTGCATGGGTATGACACCACGCTGCGCATCACACTCGATATGCTGCTGCACTGCAGGTGATTATGTGTCATGTGTGTGACTATAGCGAGTGTGATTGTATTGAGGGGATTAATGTGTGCAGCCATGGTGGTGCATGGGTATGACACCACCCTGCCCATCACACTAGACGACATGCCAGCTGCTACACTGCAGGTGCTTATCTGCATGTATGTGACTCTAATGAGTGTGACTGTATTGGGAGCTAGTAGCCATGGCGGGGCATGGCTTTGACGTCACTCTGCCCATCACACTATACGACGTGGCGCTCCTACAAAAGTCGACTCAAAAGTCTTACACCCTAAGAGATGACTTTTGAGTCGACTCCAATCTCTACTAACGTTTCAGAAGTCACGACGTGCTGCTCTCCCTACGAGATGACTTCTGAGTCTACTCAAAAGTCACGACGTGGTGCTCTGCTCCACTTACACCCTACACTACAATCTCTCACCCCCCCTCCTCCCCTCAGCATTTCAACCCACCAGCAGCAACCACCTCCCTCCGTGCCCACCCTTTCTCCCCTCCCATGTCAACCCAGGGCGGTGGCACGGGGAGCCTCTCGGCCGTTGCTGGTGGGCGACCTTCCTATCAACTCTCCCCCTCACGCCCCAACCCCATCTCATCTCACCCTCCCTTTCTCCCCTCCCATGTCAATCCAGGGCGGTGGCACGGGGAGACTCTCAACCATTGCTGGTGAGGGACCTTCATCTCACCAGCTCACATCCCAATCCCTTTCTCACCCTCCACTCCTCCCGTCCTCCCTCCTTGCCCTCCCTTTCTCCCCTCCCATGTCAACCCAGGGCGGTAGCACGGGGAGACTCTCGGCCGTTGCTGGCGGGCGACCTTCGTCTCAACTCACCGTGTCACGCCCTAGCCCCATTTTCTCTTACCCTCCCCTTCCCGCTGCCTTTCATGTCAACCCAGGGCGGTGGCGCGGGGAGCCTCTCGGCCATTGCTGGTGGGCGACTGTTATCTCAACTCACCGCCTCACGCCCTAGCCCCATTTCCTCTTACCCTCCCCTTCCCGCTGCCTTTCATGTCAACCCAGGGCGGTGGCACGGGGAGCCTCTCGGCCGTTGCTGGTGGGCGACCTTCCCTTTGGCACGTACGAGCAGAGCCCACAGCAGGTGAGCAGAGATGGGAGCAGGTGAGCAGAGCCCACAGCAGGTGAGCAGAGATGGGAGCAGGTGAGCAGAGCCCACAGCAGGTGAGCAGAGATGGGAGCAGGTGAGCAGAGCCCACAGCAGGTGAGCAGAGATGGGAGCAGGTGAGCAGAGCCCACAGCAGGTGAGCAGAGATGGGAGCAGGTGAGCCGAGCCCACAGCAGGTGAGCAGAGATGGGAGCAGGTGAGCCGAGCCCACAGCAGGTGAGCAGAGATGGGAGCAGGTGAGCAGAGCCCACAGCAGGTGAGCAGAGATGGGAGCAGGTGAGCCGAGCCCACAGCAGGTGAGCAGAGATGGGAGCAGGTGAGCAGAGCCCACAGCAGGTGAGCAGAGATGGGAGCAGGTGAGCAGAGCCCACAGCAGGTGAGCAGAGATGGGAGCAGGTGAGCAGAGCCCACAGCAGGTGAGCAGAGATGGGAGCAGGTGAGCAGAGCCCACAGCAGGTGAGCAGAGATGGGAGCAGGTGAGCAGAGCCCACAGCAGGTGAGCAGAGATGGGAGCAGGTGAGCCGAGCCCACAGCAGGTGAGCAGAGATGGGAGCAGGTGAGCCGAGCCCACAGCAGGTGAGCAGAGATGGGAGCAGGTGAGCAGAGCCCACAGCAGGTGAGCAGAGATGGGAGCAGGTGAGCAGAGCCCACAGCAGGTGAGCAGAGATGGGAGCAGGTGAGCCGAGCCCACAGCAGGTGAGCAGAGATGGGAGCAGGTGAGCAGAGCCCACAGCAGGTGAGCAGAGATGGGAGCAGGTGAGCAGAGCCCACAGCAGGTGAGCAGAGATGGGAGCAGGTGAGCAGAGCCCACAGCAGGTGAGCAGAGATGGGAGCAGGTGAGCAGAGCCCACAGCAGGTGAGCAGAGATGGGAGCAGGTGAGCAGAGCCCACAGCAGGTGAGCAGAGATGGGAGCAGGTGAGCCGAGCCCACAGCAGGTGAGCAGAGATGGGAGCAGGTGAGCAGAGCCCACAGCAGGTGAGCAGAGATGGGAGCAGGTGAGCAGAGCCCACAGCAGGTGAGCAGAGATGGGAGCAGGTGAGCCGAGCCCACAGCAGGTGAGCAGAGATGGGAGCAGGTGAGCCGAGCCCACAGCAGGTGAGCAGAGATGGGAGCAGGTGAGCCGAGCCCACAGCAGGTGAGCAGAGATGGGAGCAGGTGAGCAGAGCCCACAGCAGGTGAGCAGAGATGGGAGCAGGTGAGCAGAGCCCACAGCAGGTGAGCAGAGATGGGAGCAGGTGAGCCGAGCCCACAGCAGGTGAGCAGAGATGGGAGCAGGTGAGCAGAGCCCACAGCAGGTGAGCAGAGATGGGAGCAGGTGAGCAGAGCCCACAGCAGGTGAGCAGAGATGGGAGCAGGTGAGCAGAGCCCACAGCAGGTGAGCAGAGATGGGAGCAGGTGAGCCGAGCCCACAGCAGGTGAGCAGAGATGGGAGCAGGTGAGCAGAGCCCACAGCAGGTGAGCAGAGATGGGAGCAGGTGAGCCGAGCCCACAGCAGGTGAGCAGAGATGGGAGCAGGTGAGCCGAGCCCACAGCAGGTGAGCAGAGATGGGAGCAGGTGAGCAGAGCCCACAGCAGGTGAGCAGAGATGGGAGCAGGTGAGCCGAGCCCACAGCAGGTGAGCAGAGATGGGAGCAGGTGAGCCGAGCCCACAGCAGGTGAGCAGAGATGGGAGCAGGTGAGCAGAGCCCACAGCAGGTGAGCAGAGATGGGAGCAGGTGAGCAGAGCCCACAGCAGGTGAGCAGAGATGGGAGCAGGTGAGCAGAGCCCACAGCAGGTGAGCAGAGATGGGAGCAGGTGAGCCGAGCCCACAGCAGGTGAGCAGAGATGGGAGCAGGTGAGCCGAGCCCACAGCAGGTGAGCAGAGATGGGAGCAGGTGAGCCGAGCCCACAGCAGGTGAGCAGAGATGGGAGCAGGTGAGCCGAGCCCACAGCAGGTGAGCAGAGATGGGAGCAGGTGAGCAGAGCCCACAGCAGGTGAGCAGAGATGGGAGCAGGTGAGCCGAGCCCACAGCAGGTGAGCAGAGATGGGAGCAGGTGAGCAGAGCCCACAGCAGGTGAGCAGAGATGGGAGCAGGTGAGCCGAGCCCACAGCAGGTGAGCAGAGATGGGAGCAGGTGAGCAGAGCCCACAGCAGGTGAGCAGAGATGGGAGCAGGTGAGCCGAGCCCACAGCAGGTGAGCAGAGATGGGAGCAGGTGAGCCGAGCCCACAGCAGGTGAGCAGAGATGGGAGCAGGTGAGCCGAGCCCACAGCAGGTGAGCAGAGATGGGAGCAGGTGAGCAGAGCCCACAGCAGGTGAGCAGAGATGGGAGCAGGTGAGCCGAGCCCACAGCAGGTGAGCAGAGATGGGAGCAGGTGAGCAGAGCCCACAGCAGGTGAGCAGAGATGGGAGCAGGTGAGCAGAGCCCACAGCAGGTGAGCAGAGATGGGAGCAGGTGAGCCGAGCCCACAGCAGGTGAGCAGAGATGGGAGCAGGTGAGCCGAGCCCACAGCAGGTGAGCAGAGATGGGAGCAGGTGAGCCGAGCCCACAGCAGGTGAGCAGAGATGGGAGCAGGTGAGCAGAGCCCACAGCAGGTGAGCAGAGATGGGAGCAGGTGAGCCGAGCCCACAGCAGGTGAGCAGAGATGGGAGCAGGTGAGCAGAGCCCACAGCAGGTGAGCAGAGATGGGAGCAGGTGAGCAGAGCCCACAGCAGGTGAGCAGAGATGGGAGCAGGTGAGCCGAGCCCACAGCAGGTGAGCAGAGATGGGAGCAGGTGAGCCGAGCCCACAGCAGGTGAGCAGAGATGGGAGCAGGTGAGCCGAGCCCACAGCAGGTGAGCAGAGATGGGAGCAGGTGAGCAGAGCCCACAGCAGGTGAGCAGAGATGGGAGCAGGTGAGCAGAGCCCACAGCAGGTGAGCAGAGATGGGAGCAGGTGAGCCGAGCCCACAGCAGGTGAGCAGAGATGGGAGCAGGTGAGCAGAGCCCACAGCAGGTGAGCAGAGATGGGAGCAGGTGAGCAGAGCCCACAGCAGGTGAGCAGAGATGGGAGCAGGTGAGCAGAGCCCACAGCAGGTGAGCAGAGATGGGAGCAGGTGAGCCGAGCCCACAGCAGGTGAGCAGAGATGGGAGCAGGTGAGCAGAGCCCACAGCAGGTGAGCAGAGATGGGAGCAGGTGAGCCGAGCCCACAGCAGGTGAGCAGAGATGGGAGCAGGTGAGCCGAGCCCACAGCAGGTGAGCAGAGATGGGAGCAGGTGAGCAGAGCCCACAGCAGGTGAGCAGAGATGGGAGCAGGTGAGCCGAGCCCACAGCAGGTGAGCAGAGATGGGAGCAGGTGAGCAGAGCCCACAGCAGGTGAGCAGAGATGGGAGCAGGTGAGCAGAGCCCACAGCAGGTGAGCAGAGATGGGAGCAGGTGAGCAGAGCCCACAGCAGGTGAGCAGAGATGGGAGCAGGTGAGCAGAGCCCACAGCAGGTGAGCAGAGATGGGAGCAGGTGAGCCGAGCCCACAGCAGGTGAGCAGAGATGGGAGCAGGTGAGCCGAGCCCACAGCAGGTGAGCAGAGATGGGAGCAGGTGAGCCGAGCCCACAGCAGGTGAGCAGAGATGGGAGCAGGTGAGCCGAGCCCACAGCAGGTGAGCAGAGATGGGAGCAGGTGAGCAGAGCCCACAGCAGGTGAGCAGAGATGGGAGCAGGTGAGCCGAGCCCACAGCAGGTGAGCAGAGATGGGAGCAGGTGAGCAGAGCCCACAGCAGGTGAGCAGAGATGGGAGCAGGTGAGCCGAGCCCACAGCAGGTGAGCAGAGATGGGAGCAGGTGAGCAGAGCCCACAGCAGGTGAGCAGAGATGGGAGCAGGTGAGCCGAGCCCACAGCAGGTGAGCAGAGATGGGAGCAGGTGAGCCGAGCCCACAGCAGGTGAGCAGAGATGGGAGCAGGTGAGCCGAGCCCACAGCAGGTGAGCAGAGATGGGAGCAGGTGAGCAGAGCCCACAGCAGGTGAGCAGAGATGGGAGCAGGTGAGCCGAGCCCACAGCAGGTGAGCAGAGATGGGAGCAGGTGAGCAGAGCCCACAGCAGGTGAGCAGAGATGGGAGCAGGTGAGCAGAGCCCACAGCAGGTGAGCAGAGATGGGAGCAGGTGAGCCGAGCCCACAGCAGGTGAGCAGAGATGGGAGCAGGTGAGCCGAGCCCACAGCAGGTGAGCAGAGATGGGAGCAGGTGAGCCGAGCCCACAGCAGGTGAGCAGAGATGGGAGCAGGTGAGCAGAGCCCACAGCAGGTGAGCAGAGATGGGAGCAGGTGAGCAGAGCCCACAGCAGGTGAGCAGAGATGGGAGCAGGTGAGCCGAGCCCACAGCAGGTGAGCAGAGATGGGAGCAGGTGAGCAGAGCCCACAGCAGGTGAGCAGAGATGGGAGCAGGTGAGCAGAGCCCACAGCAGGTGAGCAGAGATGGGAGCAGGTGAGCCGAGCCCACAGCAGGTGAGCAGAGATGGGAGCAGGTGAGCCGAGCCCACAGCAGGTGAGCAGAGATGGGAGCAGGTGAGCCGAGCCCACAGCAGGTGAGCAGAGATGGGAGCAGGTGAGCAGAGCCCACAGCAGGTGAGCAGAGATGGGAGCAGGTGAGCAGAGCCCACAGCAGGTGAGCAGAGATGGGAGCAGGTGAGCCGAGCCCACAGCAGGTGAGCAGAGATGGGAGCAGGTGAGCAGAGCCCACAGCAGGTGAGCAGAGATGGGAGCAGGTGAGCAGAGCCCACAGCAGGTGAGCAGAGATGGGAGCAGGTGAGCAGAGCCCACAGCAGGTGAGCAGAGATGGGAGCAGGTGAGCCGAGCCCACAGCAGGTGAGCAGAGATGGGAGCAGGTGAGCAGAGCCCACAGCAGGTGAGCAGAGATGGGAGCAGGTGAGCCGAGCCCACAGCAGGTGAGCAGAGATGGGAGCAGGTGAGCCGAGCCCACAGCAGGTGAGCAGAGATGGGAGCAGGTGAGCAGAGCCCACAGCAG